TCGACTTCCTTTTTAAAAAAAAAAAAAAAAAATCAGAATACTAATATTTTGCAATTTGGTTATTTTGAAATGCATGATGTGGAAATGCTGGAATGAAATGCAATAAACCCTGAAAAATCACAGCTGAACAGAAGCTTCAACTTCTCATTGCTGCATTCTCAATGACCCATAAAGTGCAGGAGCTCAAAAAGCTACAAATTAAATACTTAAAAATGTAACATTTCTCCAACTGTTGCTGTGTTGACTCAAGGTGGCGCCCTCATAGCCTTCTTGTGCTAGCATCATTTTTTAAAGATGGAAATCAAGCAGGCTATATTTTGGATGAAAGCTAGTTGCACAGCAATTCCATGATGCAATCTTAGTCCTGACACCCTGCTCTAGGATCCTCTGCTAGTGTCAGGATAACATCTGTGAAATCGGCCTCCACTTTAAACGATTGCAAATAAAGTCAACATTGGAAGGCCAGTCAGTCAGTTGGTCTCATGTGACAAGTCATACCTGAAATTATACAAATAAGAACATACGTAAGCAAACACTGTGTAATCTCAGAGTAATCTACAGTGAACAACAGTACAGCACATACCACTGTGATACTCCTGCCTTGAGATCCAGCTGACTCAAGTCTATCTGAAGCTGAAACAGAATGCAGATTGAAATTTAGTAATGTAAAGATGGTCTGTAATGTCTGTGATCTTGTTATCTGACTCGTCACATGATGAATACCTTGCCAAGAAGCTCTTTTTCACGACTCATGAAGGAAACGCTGTTCTTGACAGACACTTCAAGATGTTTCTGCTTAGCTTCTTCATGTGACATGTCAAAATCAAATCTGTAGGAGCGAGTGAAAGATGGTGAACATTCGGCTCTCGGTGTCATCAGATAGTGATTTGATGAATGTTCCTACTAACCTCTCATTGAACTCAGGTTTGAGGCTTTTCTTCTTAACACTGGTCTTCCTTTTGGTGATCCGGTTCTTGTCCGGAAGTAGAATAAATGAGATGTACGTGTCTGGAGGATCCTTGGAGTAGGACGGCAAGTTCCTGTGCAAGAATAGAGAATTACGAAAGAAAAAAAACCTGAGGACCATAGCTAGTAATAAGGCTCTTTTTCAGCCTTAAAGATAAATTTTTGTCCTTTTTATGATTGTTAAATTATTTGATAATTATATATACTAGATAGCCTTAATGAAAACCCAGTCCAGCGCATTCAGTACCTCAGACTGGGCAGAAGGTTCACCTTCCAACAGGACAATGACCCTAAACACAGCAAGAGTGGCTTATAGACAACTCTGTGAATGTCCTTGTGTGGCCCAGCCAAAGCCTGGGATTGAACCCAATCAAATATTCCTGGAGAAACCTGAAAATGTGTGTCTGCCCCATCCAACCTGACAGAGCCTGAGAGGTGAAGAGGTGAGGAGAAGAATGGCAGACAATTGCTAAATGCTGATGTGCAAAGCTTGTCGCATCATACCCAAAAAGACTTGAGGCTATTAAGGTGCTTTAGCTAAGTAATGAGATAAGGGTTTGTATACTTATGCAATGTACTTATTTCAGTTTTTTATTTTTTATAAATTTACAAAGTTGTGACAGTTCTGTTTTTGCTTTGCCATTACGGTGTATGGAGTGTAGATTGATGTGGGAAAAAAGTAATTTAAAGCAGTTTAACATAAGGCTGCAACATAACAAAACGTGAAATAATACTTTCGCAAGGCACTGTATATCCAAGATATAGTAATTATATTCTATTATATAGCGACTGAAAGTGTCCAATAATTGGTTGATTACCAAAATAAAGTGAGTAGTTTTTAATGGTCACCTTTAGTAGCATTATTCATTGATCGGTCTTCTTTTTACTTGTATGACACCTACCTGCAGGCATAGACGGTAATGACCAGTCGGTTCTCCTCAGATGAACAGGCAACAGAGAGCTTCACCTGGGCCTTCCCGGTTGAATTGGGATCCTCACCTCTGTATTTACATCCATCCACACAAATAAACCAACACACATGTCAATGTCAGTTACTGATTGGTTCTGCCTATGAACACTAACACACTGTTACAAATGAAATACAGCTCCTCTTGAGCTCACCCTTGGACGGGCACACTTCTGTGTCGGAGCTCACAATTGGCTGCAGCAGCTGCGTCTCCAGTGGATATGACATGACTTGAATCCTCTGCATTGCTACATTGAGACAACTTGCTGTCTAGGAGCTTTTTAACAGACAAGATGTTTTTGTTTTATTTATACTACCAATAAAAATGTATGTCTTTGAAAGAAGCATTTTATGCTCACCAAGGCTGCATTTATTTGATCAAAAATGCAGTAAAAACAGTAATATTCTGAAATATTATTACAATTTAAAATGACTGTTTTCTATTTGAATATACTGCAAAGGGCAATTTATTCCTGTGACGACAAAGCAGAATTTTCAGCAGCTCTGATTGCAGTCTTCAGTGTTACATGAATCTTTAGAAATCATTAAAAAAAGCTGATCTCATGTTCAACAAACATTTCTCATTGTTAGCAATGTTGAAAACAGTTGTTCCACTTTTGTGGAAACCATGACAGATTTTTTTCATGATCCTTTTGTGAGTACAAAGTTTAAAAGAGCAGCATTATGTGGAATCTTTTGTCACATTATAAATGTCTTTACTGTCACATTTGATCAATTTAATGCATCCTTGCTGAAGAAAAGCATTAATTACTTAACATTAACAGTATTGTAGCAATTGTGTTTAATTCCATGTTGAATACAATACACTACATGACCAAAAGTATGTGCATGTTGGAACACGGCTGTCTGTATTAATAGACTTCATTCTGGCTGAATGTAAACATGTCCTGCTGTTCAGCACATGTTGAATATGTGTGTGGTTTCTAACCTTGAGTTCAGCTCTCAGCAGAATCTGACTTTCAGGCATGGCTCCATCCAGACTGAACCAGCGGTCCAGCACCAGATCCTTCTCATCCAGCAGCTCCCTCACAGGAAGCACAAGAGAGCCCAGAGCCTGACCCCAGCTGTGAGAGAGCTACAAACACACACCAAATTCATTTACATACACTCCAGTGCAGAAAACATTATGTAAATATCGTCCTTCTGACATAAATTCACTCCTTAAAATCAACATTTACTGTAAAAGTTTCTCACTTTGACTATAAGTGTATCTTCTGTTGGATTATGGATCAGGAAATGAAAAGCTTCATCCCACTGTGGAGAAGTCGAGCGACTGACAACCTTGCGGGGGAGACATGATTCCTTTGTGAGTCTTCAATCAGTACATCAGTATAAATTTGTCAGGATTTGAGGATCTTACTTTGGTTCGGTAGGATATATTTTTGAGGGACAATTCTGCTCCTGCTTTCGGCTCTTTCCCGCTCTTTTTTAACTGGAAACAACAGTACATTTTCAGTGCTAACTTATTCAGTTCATTGAAGCAAAGTCGATGCTAAATACAAGCTACTGCAAATTAAGCTGTGAAGAAATAATTCAAATATTTGAATGAAAATAAAATGAAACTCACAGGCAGACCATGTGCTCTCTCAACATACACAAAAAGCAGTGCAGCAGAAGGAACCGTTTTATTCAGGTAAGACTGACGATAGTTGTAATGTAGGATCTGAATGTAAAAATCACAAAATCAGTTGATATTATTGAATTCGGATGAACAATTAAAGCATATATAATAAAAGCACATTACCTGTTCAAGTCTGGTGGGATCTGAAACTTTAGGCACCCATTCCAACACAAGATGAAGTCGTCCAGACTTCACATCATTCAGAGTATACCACTGCAGCAGGACACAGGCATAAATAGGTGTGAACAAGCATACAACCAGATATAGAAAGTATAAAAATAAAAAAAAATTATTTGTAAAAACAGAGAGAGCCTCACCTGATCAGTAAACTGAGCACTGATGAGGTCCCCGAGACTCACTTTAACCCTGCAACCAGATAATAAATCAATGCAGGAACAATACTGACATTCATCAACAAAACTAAAGAACTGATTCTCGATTCACTATCCAAAACTTTGTAACACAATCTCAACTGCCACTTTGAAACGAATCAGAGATCACTAGCATGTTCTTAACACAAATGTACAGTACAATTTAATTGTACATTCGATACCCTTAAAGCTATTCGTCCTCAGACTGTAACTCACTACCTTCTTATACATTCAAACATATATTAGGCCTGAGCAAAACAGATATACAAATATGTATCTTTTAAAGAAATATTTTGACAATCAATCAAGTCAGCCTATAATATGAAGGGATATATTTTATGTGCTATGAGTTCAATAACATCACACAGGCTCTATTACATTTGATAAGTGTTTTTCTAAACCATTTAAATGATAAAGTCTCATAACCATGGCTCTGTCACACAAATTATAAAGTAAATGCTATTAGCTAGTGGCAACAGGTCTTCTTTTGAGTTTGCTGCTCATTATCATTAAATAATCCTTAAAAATGTATCATGGTTTCCATAAAAATATTAAGCAGCACATCTGTTTGCAACATTGATAATAAGAAGAAATGCTACTTGAGCATCATATTAACATTAGAATGATTTCTGTGACACTGAAGACTAGATTCGTGGCTGCTTAAAATTCATCACATAGGAATAACTTACATTTTAAAATATATTAAAATAAAATAAAAAATTAAATCATAAAATTCAAAATATTACTGTTTTATTAAGTTGTAATCAAATAAATACAGCCTTGGTGAGCATGAGACTTGTTTCAACAACACTAAAAAAATGTACCAACCCCAAACTTTTAAACAGAAGTGTAGGAGATTTTTAGCTTGATTTTTCCTTATTACTTAAGAATCAGTAAGCTACTATAATAAAACTTCAGCATCAAATTCTGAAAGTAGACGAGGAAGGTTGCCACCTCACCTGCCAAGGAAGTCGTCCTGATCAATGTCTTTATCATAAAGGTCAAACTCCACCTCCTGACCTGGCAACTGGGTCAAGATCACCTACAATACAAGCAGACAGGTATGCATAACTTGCAATGGGGACGTTTATTTTCCAGAGTCGAAAAGGAATGTTTGAATGAAGTGACTCTTAAAGCAGAAATCAGCTAGACGGAAGATGGAATCCTTGTGCCATATCCCTCCATGCTACACATGAAATAAATTAGCATGCATACCTCATAAAGTTCATTCCAGATGGGGTTGAGGTTCTCTTTGATGACCTGACTCTTGAATGCCAGTCCTCCCACTCGGATCTTCACATACGGGTCGCTCTTCCCCTTCACCATCCCGCCCATTAAATTGTCCTTAGCAATGAGACTCTGGGCTTCTACCAGGTGGATCCGCAGAACACCCTATATTGAACATGGGATAATTACATAGAATGATAACTTCAATCTTATATATTTTTTTACTGCTATCAGACGATTAATCGCGATTAACCAAGTTTATCGATTAAATAAAAGTTTTTGTTTACATAATATATGTGTGTGTATTCTGTATATTTATTATTTATATATAAATACACACACATGCATGTATATATTTCAGAAAAATATGTTATGTTTGTATATTAAATATATTATTATATCATATAAATTATATGAATATAAATGTAAATATTTTCAAAATATATACTGTATCTGTGTGTATTTATATATACATAATAAATACGCACAGTACACACACATACTGTATATTATGTAAACAAAATCTTTTATTTTGGATGCGATTCATCGTTTGACAGCACTAATGTTTTTCAAAAGACATCAAGATCTACACTTCTTTACAGGCTCACCTCAGATGCAAAATTGCTGTCTGGACTAGTATGCTCGGGACGTTTTGAAGTGGGAGTCACTTTTGATACCCCTGAAGACACTTCTGATTCAATATCTCCATCTCGGGGTAATGGAGTCACGGGTGTGGTAAGGATGGCTTCTTCATTCAGCCACAACACCTGAAACGTACAACTCCTACATTACGCGTCCTCAAGTTTTTAATAACCAAAATCAATCTATCTTATCTTACCCTCAGCATAGCTGTGATGTAGATACGGCTGGCCGGTCCGGACTTTTCTAGCTGAAACCACTGATCCATGCTGAGCTCAGCACTGGAGAGCAGACGGGACAAGGGGATAGACAAACTTCCCAGAGTCAAAGCCCTGTCATCATCCTTCACCTGGGACAGATGGAAGCAATTACAGTGAAGACATGTGGTTTACATGTATTTATACACAATGAAATGAGCACGTGAAATGATACTATTGCAGTTACATCACGAAAAGGGGTAAATTAGTAACACTCTAGATTTAATATTTTGCAATCATAGAGATTATACTGTACCTGGATGTCGATATCTTGTTTGCGTGGGTCCTGAATAAAAAATGTAAAGGCATCCTCCCATACTGGATTGTTAGTCCCATACACCATCTGGATTTTTAATTAATGAGAAAAAAAAATATATAAAAAAATAAAAATATATATATATATATGAAAGAGTGACTCCAAAAGGTATAAACATGCCATAAACTTTACTCATATTGTATAACAACGACATCATACCCTGCTCTCTTTGGTGGTATCCTGAACAGATATCTGCACCATGGGGCTGGGGTCCTTATTACCTTTCTTAAACTGAATAGAAACACATCCTACTGAATAACATCAACATTTTAAGCACTCTTCGAACAAAACAATAAATGCTGAAAGAAGGGCAACAGTGATGCAGAATACAAACTTACAGGTAGATCTTGTGCCCGGTCCAGATAAACAGTCAAAATAGCAGCAGAAGGAGGATCTGCTGTCTTACCATATATCGTAATGTTATTATTCCTCTCCAGCACCTATATTTGATACAAGGGTTCAGTCTGGAAATTAAAGGAGAATATCAAGAAATACACCGTTTTTATAGTTTGTCATGTAAGAGCTTACTTCGTTTAGGCGCTCTGCAGAGGGCAGCAGAGAGAGCCATTCTAGCTTGAGATGAACCTGACCGGATGGTGCATCCTTTAAAGTGTACCACTAAAACCACAGTGGAAAGCAATACATTACTATTATAAACAATACAAACTGCATAACTGAGAAACAGTTAGGGTGGTGAAATAAATATGTTTGCCACTGATTTAAAAGACATAATACAGAACAATAATAGAAAAGGTTTTTGGTGTAAGAAATCAACAAAAGAAAATAGAAAATCAACTACAAATTTTATATATACATATATATATATATATATATATATATATAGACTGTATAAGTGTGTGTGTGTGTATATATATATATACACACACACACACACATTTATATATGTGTGTGTGTATGTATAAACAAGAATTAGTCCACAAGATCTACCTCATCCAAAAGAACTGCTTTCTTTACAATACCTAAATCCAGCTTCATTCTAAAAAAAATGATGATTCACAGAAAATAGAGAAAGACAAAAATAAAAAAGCATTTTTTATATTAATAAATATTCATTTATATTTGGAATATATTTCTTTAACTCAACTTAACTATATACTGTATATATTTATTATTATATTTGTATAATTATTAATGATTATACTATGATATTATTATATTATTAATGAATTAATACCTCCCAAGAAAGTCATCCTGGTCAGGGTCTTTATCAAACACCTCCAGCTCCAGCTCCTGACCAGGTACTTCATGAACAATGACCTAATAATCACACAAACACACACAGTCACACAGAAATGCACATAAAATGTGACAAATGGCATTAAGCACATTGCTGACTTAGAACAAGAATGCTTCAAAACATCTTGAAGATTTGGAATCTTCAAGATTCAGAATGGATAATCTTGCAATTATCAGATGTTTCTCTGAGCTTGTGCTTTTGCTCTAAGCTCATCTGATCTCAGCACATGATAGTCACATACTGCACTATCACACTCTGTTTTTTTCTTGCTGTTGCCAGCAGTTACAAGAGTCACAACACAGTAAACACCTACATAGTGTTAGCTCAAAAAAACCACAGCTTCCCCTTCCTCAGAACTGTGACACTTTTTTTCAGCAACCACACTGATCACATGCTACCCAAACACATCTCTCTCTGACCTCGTACATCTCCCTCCATTGAGGATTAAGGTTGTTGTCCACGTGGTGGGAGGTGAAGGTCTGAGTGCCCACCCGTAGCACTGCATACGGGTCAGACTTCCCAGATATCACACCTTTCATGTAGTTATCCTTGGCAGCAAGGTTTTCTGCCTCCAGCAAGTGGATACGCACTATACCCTGTGGGAAAACACAAAACAAGGGTAAGCAGAGTGCAAGAGGCGTGCCTTAAAGGAATCGTTCACACAAAAACAAAATTTGCTGAATATTTATTTATTACTTCACATGCTCATGATTCTCTGCGGTCAATGTGTGCCGTCAGAATGAGAGTCCAAACAGCTGATAAAAACATCACAATAATCCACAAGTAATCCACATGACTCCAGTCCATCATTGAATGTCTTGTGAAGTGAAAAGCTGTGTTTGTAAGAAACAAATCCATAATTAAGACGTTTTAACTTTAAACTGTTGCGAGAAAACAATATTATGCAGGTATTTTAGCTTGAATTTAAAAACGTCTTAAGGATGAAGGTTTTTGCTTCACAAGACGTTAATTGATGGACTAGTCATGTTGATTACTTGTGGATTATTGTGTTGTTTTTATCAGCTGTTTAAACTCTCATTCTGACGGCACCCATTCACTGCAGAGGATCCATTGGTGAGCAAGTCATGTAATGCTAAATTTCTCCAAATCTGTTCTGATGAAGAAACAAACTCATCTACTCATCTCTCATTTTGGATGATCTGAGGATGAGTTTCAGCAATTTTAATTTCTGGTTGAACTATTCCTTTAATTAACATATGTAATTATGTAAATGAGAAGTTCAACATTATGAAGCAGCTACACTGGACAAGCATGCATGATGAAATTATGGAGTATTAAAGTACATTGGATGGATCTTGAATAGTTCAAATAAGGTTAACATAGTTAAATACTCCATTAAAGCACAGTGAAGTGTTACCCGTGGGAGAGGGGAACGCAGCTGTGCTAGGTGCAGATTGGCCACCAAAGGCACAGTGAGACGATTGGGGAGAACCAGGAAAGAGGCGATTGCATCCATTATCATAGTGTCCGACATGGCACTGAAAATGAATGCAAGGGGTTCGTACAGAGAAAATGGGACACAGAAGCACAAACAAAATACATTTAAACTATTTTAAAGCATGCTTCTGAGTGATTACAATGAGTTAAGCTATGATAAATATGAATGACTGCATGTTTCCCTGCTTTATTTGAATAGAGGGAAGCTCAGCAGACTTTGAATAATCAGACCAGTGCTCTACTGATTATTAATGAATGAAGCATATGAGAAGAGAGAGTTACAGTATTAAAAATTCCAGTGGAGTTGTGGTATATCTAAATCATAAAATCAAAAGAGAAAAATGATACAAAACAAATTCACTCACTTCAAACCAGGTATGTCTAACAAATTGGTCAACCCAGTCCAGTTGATGTCGAGTTTCTAAGATGGAGAGAAGCAGAAACAAAGACTGTGTAATAAAAGAGGGGGTTATTACGAAGCAATATAGTAATTAACATGGAAACAAGTGGTGTACTAACAGGTCTGCGAATGAAGAACATGGTGATGGCTCCAACGAGAGGAACATCTCCAATTAGCGGTTCCAAGATCACCCTCAATTTTCCATGGAGCTATAGAATAGGAGATACTGGTTTCAGTCAATAAGTCTTTTATCTATTCTCTTTAATGTGTCACATTGATCTCCTCCTTACCTGAATGCCTTTCACTCCAGCTTTACAGAAGTACTTCTTCACCTCAACGTTAATCTCCACATCTCCAGCATAACTGCAACACAGCCAAAAGGATTTAAATATGGCTATAAACCAAGGGTTCTCAACCTTTTTTGGTTAACAACCTATTTTTTGGTCTTAAATGTCTTGCAACCCCCCCAAGTAACAGAATTAAGACATATACTTTAAGATCACACTGACAAAAAAAGAAAAAAAAACATTTAAATATAAATAAAATCTAATATAATCTAATACAATAGTCTGTTTTTGTAAATATAATCCAAAATACTATATAAGAATATACTATGAACAAGACACAACCACAACTCCAAGTTTGCCAAGAAAGAGACCAATAACACTACCTGATATAAAGATCCAGTATCACCTGACGTTTATCATGCTCAGTGTAGGCCTTCACCCCAACTACCTTCATAGCCTGTTAAAAAATAATTGTCTTAGTCAGTAGCCAACATTTTCAAGATATAGCTCTGATAAGCATAAACTGAGAATCATATTCAAATATGAGAAACATATGCAAAGAACTCAGTCTTTTATCAGAGGTACATCTCCAGCATAACTGCAACACAGCCAAAAGGATTTAAATATGGCTATAAACCAAGGGTTCTCAACCTTTTTTGGTTAACAACCTATTTTTTTGGTCTTAAATGTCTTGCAACCCCCCAAGTAACAGAATTAAGACATATACTTTAAGATCACACTGACAAAAAAAGAAAAAAAAAACATTTAAATATAAATAAAATCTAATATAATCTAATACAATAGTCTGTTTTTGTAAATATAATCCAAAATACTATATAAGAATATACTATGAACAAGACACAACCACAACTCCAAGTTTGCCAAGAAAGAGACCAATAACACTACCTGATATAAAGATCCAGTATCACCTGACGTTTATCATGCTCAGTGTAGGCCTTCACCCCAACTACCTTCATAGCCTGTTAAAAAATAATTGTCTTAGTCAGTAGCCAACATTTTCAAGATATAGCTCTGATAAGCATAAACTGAGAATCAAATTCAAATATGAGAAACATATGCAAAGAACTCAGTCTTTTATCAGAGGTAGATTTGTATACCCTGTCGCCCAGGTCAACTTTGGTGAAGCTGAGAGTTTGCAGATGAGCGCTGGCGGCTCGGATTGAAGGGGCAATAGTCTCCACCAGCAGCTTCTCCAGATACTGTCCAATAAATGGCCAGGCCTGCTGCAATATCTGTGAGCCGGGATAGTTATGAACAATAAGAAATGGTAGAAACTCATGAAGATGACAATATCAAGTCAATGAAGAGATTTTTTCTTCCGAGTATATAATATAAATATTTAATTGGATATAATGTACTCTTTGAGATACACAAACATTAGAGCATTATGTTTTGAAATGAATGCATGCAAAAGGAGTCTAATTTGTCAGTCAAACCTCCTGAGAGATACTCTAAAACTCCTTTTTAGATTGAGCATTAATAAGAAATACTGATTGATTTTCTGTACACTGATGCAACAACTTAAATCCGTGCTGTTTAGTTTAACACCAAAATCATGATTAAATACAATTACAAAACCTGCATCATAACATATTCACTTACTGGGTGTTTGCAAATGTCATCAGAAAGAGCAGTGTGTGTAGTGAGCTTTGAAGCATATCCCACAATCCACCCTCCCTATTCTCACTGTCTAAACACAAGTTTGTTTGAGGCAAACCCTTGAAGCCTGCATGCTAACAACAAGCCTTGTGTGCAAGAAAACTCAAGAACAATCTGTGAAGTGTCTGGCCTGCTACTCTGAGAAGCTCTTATATGAAAATAGACTAATGAAATCTCAAAGCCAGTATTACATTTTTGTGCTTTAAAAGGAGAAATAATGAAAGAATCCGGAAGATCATGTGGCAGTCAGTCTGAAGACTTTCACAAGGCAATATTCTTCCTGATAAGCTCTCAAAATCTGTGTGGTTTGTGTGGCCATTTAAAAGTCTGTGAAATAAGCAAATGTTTCTACAATGTAGTCTGTGGGTCCTTTATTCCAAAATAAGGTCTATTACGCCAATGACAAGTTAATAAACATTATGCAAAGACTGGAGTGCTGCCAAACCGTTCAACGATTTATCTTCAGGGACTGAATTTGAAAACATACACGCTTGTGCCCTCAGGAGCACGAAGCAGAAACAATGAGAACAGCAGCTGCGGTCACGTGTGCATTTGTGTATTTGAATAAAGAGTTTAATACCTTGTTCATCCACTCAACCTTTTCCACGTCAGGAAAGTTCACCTATGGCAAACAAAGAGTACACTTTGACTTCCGATGTCAACACATATAACAGAATGGTTTTACATGCAGTATGCAAGGAGACCTCTTATATTGTACTAAATAAACACTGTGAAGGTCAGAGCTGTTCTTAACAAAACACCAGCATTTTCCTGTGAAAACACCAGCTGTGCAGACACAGGAATACACAGTTTTGCCAGTTCTTGAAAACACTGTCATTCTTGCACAAGAATACTTGTAAATGTTTAACAAAATGTACTCCATTAAATAGTATGGCAATAGTAGACCGTAATAGTTGGAAGAAAGAATCATAAAAGTATGACTAAAAACAAATATGCAGTGGCAAAGGAACCTTAATTAAAGGTCAGTTCTGATTTCAGTGTAGATGTTTACTATAAATAAATAACTAAATAAAACATTACAATTGAATTAAATTACAAATGATAAAGTTAACAAATAACAAGGTAATTACATTAAATGAAATATAACTTGACCCTCTACATACACGATTCCCAACTATATATTTTAATCTAAGACACCAGACAAAGGTATATTTCTGCAGCAGTGCTCTTTAAAGTTTAAACACATCATTTGTAACAGGATGTGGGTAGGTTTATACAAAACACATCAGTTAAAAAAGCCACTATGTACATGTGAGGTACGTGAGGAAAGTGGCACAACAGTTTCTCTGACCACAGGTCATACCTTTCCAAACAATTTTCAACTTCTTCATGTTTTCCCATCACCCCCTCACCAAATTCTTGCTGCAAATGGTTCATTTTGCCATTTAGCTGCTGGTGACTCAGTCCCATGAGGTTGGATACTTCAATGTCCAAATATAGCAAGGGCTGGACTGACTTTGGAATGTATTGAAGTTAATGAGGGACGGGGGATGAAAGGAGGGAGGTAAGGAGAACATAAATATGAACTCTGTCAGGGAGTGTGCTGGATGCTTATGAAAGGGAGAAAACTGTCAACTTTGATTGGCAGAGTTGGCTGAAAGAAGCTCTCGCTATGACGATGAAGCAATACAGGGGCATGAACACGCATTCTGACTACAGATAATGTCGTAATATATTATAAATATAGTACCGAAACTATAGTTCCATGTTAACAAAATGAAAGAAACCATCTGTATGTAAAATCAATGATAGTGAAGCATCTCACTGGTTACAAAACAGCTTTTTTTTATTTAACTTACAGTCAGAATAACTACTTTATAGTTCATTTTTTAGTAATTACTGCTATGAACTGGAATACACATTAGCGCCTAATAAACACGTACCAGTATCTATTCTACTACTGCTAGAAAAACTAATATGGTACCATCAACTATTTGAATATTACCAAATAAAAAGTAAGGACGGGTAGTCAGTTACTTGTAAAACTGAAATACTAGGCAGAATCAAAGAGTTGATATCTGAGCTACAGTCCCCATAAAATTCAATGGAAAAAGCAATTGGCTACCAGTCACAAACGTAATATTAGTATTTTTTTATTGGGATAGTGACTAGTAGCAAGTATAGGTACTAGTTAGTTTGTAATGAACACGTTTCAGTGAACTTAAATCTTCCTTGAATGCATACTAGTGAGTAGTAAAAAGTAGTTAGCTGAACTACAGATCACCAGAAACTACAATGGTAAACGCAATTTGTTACCAGTCACAAATGGAATATTTACTTGTTATTGGGATAGTAACTAGTAGCAGGTATGGGTACCGGTTTGTAATCAATGCATATTTCTCAGTAGTCAGAAGTGAATGGTTGATATCTAAACTACAGGTCTGCGTAAATTTCAATGGTAAATGCAATTGGTTACCAATTACAAATGGAATATTTACTTGTTAATGGGATAGTGACTAGCAATGTAACTAATAGTTGTAGTGACTAACCTAATAGATAAGTCACTTTTGGAATAAGTACTAGCATGATGAAGGAAACGGGTCAATACTGGATTCATTTCTAGTAATTACAAAAACATAAGTACTGTAACATAAAAATAGATGTTATTTTAAAGGAATGTAGAACACTGAGTGTGTAATAGCGTGTGTAATTATGATGCGTATGATGTGTAATTAATAGCTACTAACAGGTTGGACTGCAAGAGTAGGTGATTAAATATTTAAAATCATATCAGTAAATAACTACAACATGAAATCAAGCTGTCACTGCCACGAAAGCACCTAAATATACACTTTTTACGCTTATTGTAAACAAAAATACCAGCGAAAAGCGCTAAGAAATCCTGCATGTCTATCTGCTCGAAGATTTCATGTGCTGATGGCTGCGGTGCTGAACTGTTGGCTACTAGAATGATGCCATGTATGGTATAAAGTCCCTTACCCATGCCGGCAATTCCCGTTTACTTCTAAACACCCGTGTAGTGGTGACATCCTGCTCATTTTCTAAAAAATACATTGCGCTTTGCAGTCGCGCATTTTTTCCATCGCGACTATGTTTCCATCCCATATAAACCACGAGACCGAGCAAAACTAAACTGATACTGAATCCGAAATATCCAGCCAGGTAGACCGGCAATAAGGCACCGACGCACTTTCCAAAGGACCAGAGAACGGACACGGCGTGTTTTCCAGCGGAATCGTGAGGCAGGGCCGAGTCCGCAACCTCCGGAGCGGCACCCGCGCTCGGCCCTGCATCCTCAGATGACATCGGCTCTTTCTGCATCAAATCCCGTCTTCAGTGAGCGGTTCCGCGCTAGACACTAGAAACCCACTCAATACCGCTCGAAACGAAGAGGTGCTGTACACATACGATTAAACAAGAACAAAAAATGACTCATAATTCGCTCACTCTACGAAAACAGCACGTCTGTCTGTTCCTTTGCAGCGGAAAGTTGGGCATTTCTAGTTTGCTTATAAGATGGGCGTGTAGGGGCGTGTTTTGAAGGCTTCAGCCCTTCTAGATTCTTGTTAAAACCACAGAGAACCTTAAAACGTCTGGGTGTGGGATCATGCACATTTTCGCGGTCTTTCTAAAGAACTCACCCATCATTTACCAGTCACTGAACCCCGTTATGTTACGCTCTGAGCGACAGAAAAGGCTGAACGAGAAAACAGTAATTTTGAAGTTAAGATGCAGTGCACCAATATAATTTTAGCCTCCAGCACACATTTAAGCTGTCGCATAGGCGTTTACATACAACCAATGTGGTGTAATTTTCTACACGCTAAGCAAAACACTAATGATGCAGAAAATGCATTTTAATGACTGAGGAAAGCTAATGCAAACGAACATTTGTCCATTAACTACAACTAAATTATGGACTACTGGCTAACCTGCACACTGCAGTCAAAACACTGAAGGCAAACTACTCATCGCCTAGAAACTGGCTCAAGTCATGGTTATGTTGCCGTGCAGATTAAATCGGCATCGTTTATGCACCGGTGTTCGATAGTTTACAACCAATGCAGCATTTACTATCACACGCGACAATTTGGTCAAGGTCTTGAAACATTGACAAATTACCAGCCCTTAATACAGCAGTGACCACCCTGCGGTTACATTTCTAAAAGCATTACTATATGCAATTAAAAAAAGTCACTAAACTTCAGTTTTCATGTTAATAACTGCTGTCCAGTTTTTGATTTCTGCAAATTTAGTCCCTCAGCGGTTAAACTACACTATATAAACGTTGCACGGGTTTTGTCACAGATCACCTAACAAAACATGGCAGGGAACTACAATTATGGACAAGTTTAATGTTATAGCATGCTATAAGAGTCCATAGTCTAGAAGGCAATAACGGATTTAAAAGCTAAATTAGATCAGATTAAAAATTAAATTAAAATATGTTCTAGCACAAGGGAAAAGCCACATGCACAAATTAAATACACCAAGGCTGGAATTAAAGCCTTCTAGATGCATTGTGCCTTCCAACACTACTGGCTCCTGCAATACTTTAGTAAGATCTTAGAACTTTACACGGCTCTGATAAAACCCAATAACTTCATACAAGAGAAAACAGCCAAAATTACTTTTTAAACCAAAAGATTTATTGAAGACAACAAACTCGCTGAGCTGACAGATTTGAGGAATGTCCAAAACAGTTCACATGGTCATCAAGACCAGAATGCTTCTGCAGAACCAGGTGATGGAAAACCAAATCCTCATTCAGAAGAAAGCAGGCCTTGTAGATGGTGGATGAGTGGAGCTTCAGTTGGGCTTTCAGCAGACTCTTGCCGAGATTAAAGTGGAGGAGCACTCTCAGCTTCAGCAAACAGGGTCCAGTTTACTTTGACCTCTGCCTCATCTTTCTCCTTTTACGCTTCAGCCTAAAAAAAAAAATTAAAAAAAATGGATTCAATCACTTCATGCCCATTCCAAAGGTAAAGAACGTAAGACGCCGTTTATATAGTTACAAATTTACCTGCGCATGCGCTTCTTTCGCCACTGCAAGAGGAGTAAAACCATTAATAAACTGGGGTTAGGCAGTTAAAAACAAACATTGCAACTCATTAAACACATGCGCATTCGCAACTGGCACCATTGGCTGTATTTTCACTATGCAGCATGGCCGTTCGGGCGGAATAGTTATAAGAACGAAAAAAGAAGCGATAAAGAAGATTAACGTTAATAAACCACCATTTTATCAACGTAAATAAGTCAATAAAAAAAAAAAAAACAATATACAACGACTGCAAGCTCAATCTGGCAACAATATTCCCTGCGACGAAGCGTGTTAGCAGGGTAACGTAGCACAGTAGGCCCGAGTATAACACTACAAAATACAACACTAAATCTCTCAGTGACTTTATTCCACATGGTTAAAAATAAGCTTACAGTAAAATATTCAGTTAAAAAGCATCAGTGTTATAGTGTAATTCACACTATATTACCCACCAAGATGCTAGCAAGACTAGCCAGATGACGACACTCGATTTCATTTGTATATGAAAAATGTACTTACCTTCGCTCTCATGATGAGAAGATGGTTCTGTGAATAAACAAATAATGTTAGAGTTAACGATGGATGGTGTGTAAATGTCTTGGATTGCTATGGATTGTACGAGATGTTAACACAATGTCAGCGGACGCCATCTCCTCACCTCGTCAAGCGATAGCAACGACTCCAAGAGGACGTCATGCGGGGGACGGGCTCTTATATACTCCTCGGTTCGGTTGCGTCATTTTTCAGCGACTACAAAAAGAAACGCGTGCTACACCCCGGCTACACCGGTCAATAATTTTCCATTTTCATCAAATTTATACAGTGGTCAAGAATCTTGACAATGTGACTGATTTTTTGCAGTTATTTATGTGACGCTTAAGCAGTGTTTACGGTACGAGGTCTGAAATAAAAAGTACAATTCAATTAAAATGTAATTATTTTAAATATAGGCCTATAATTAATTATACACGATTATTAGTTATGTATCAATTTATAATTAATAAAATGGGTTTATTTGGTTTCAGAACTTATGGGGTGTGTTTTACGTTACGTACGGTTTTTGACCCACGGATCGGATCATTTTTCAGATCAGCAAGAAAATAAAAATATTTCAATTTAACTTGCTTTCCTTTAAAGAGACAAGAGAACAGCCAGTAAAAATACGAACAAATACACAAATTACAAGTATGGATAAATACAACAGAATATGTTACAAATAAAATAAGGTTGGTAGTATTCAAATACAGAAATGTAATAATTAGGGAAAATAACACTACAGAGTGTTCACTTTATAAATTAAATATATATTTTTATCACAGCTGTTTTGTTGTTTGATGATCACTAATGACAGCAGCAGTATTTATAAGCCGCTGTCCCTTTAAGACCTGATGCACGGATCCGATATGATACACATCACATCCGATTTCTTTCTCAGCTGTTTTCATTCACTTGAGACATAACTGACTGCGTTTACCTGAATGATTGTCGAGATGGGTATTTTGTCATAATTTTGTGTCTGTTCAAAGGATTTAAAAGAGGATCGAGTTCGGTGTCCGCGCGCTTCACGTGTGGGCGGCTGTGCGCGAGTTACGAATCCAGTTCCCTTTCGCCTTTTCTCTCTGTAATTGTATTTCGACACTTTCTAGATGTCAAACTTAGAATATATCGACAGTTAAAATGAACTAAACTTGTGGATACTCTTACTAACACACCTGTGCGAACTAGACAGGAAATAACTCCATGGTTCCCGTTAAATTGCCGTAAAATTATCTCTTTATAGGTATGTCATTGGTTTGCAGATGACACTGGGTTTGACATTTTGTGTCTAATGACACTCATAATATTTTCTGTGTGCCATATGACTGCTGCATTCTGATAGATGAATACATTTTGTGATATTTGTTGAGTTTAAACAAACAAACCAGGCTCTGATCCATCAATTGGCTAATTAAATTTATTAGATGTACGTTTATAAAATGACAGGTTAATTTGGTCAGTCAATAAACAATGGTTTGAGAAGTCAGACCAATAAGCTGAAGGAAAGATCTACATCGAAACAGACTCTGGAAAAGCATTTTCATAATTCTGGAAATACTAGAAAACGAATGCTGAATGTCATCTAACAGAAATCAAAGCTTACCAAATTGATTAACAGTGCTTCCATTGTAGTTGGTTTGCTATATTTAAGGTGTAGTGAGGCCGTTACCGCTCCAAAGACTCATTACAGGTCATCAATACAAATTATGATCATTTCCCAACTGACAAAAACTCAACCTTTAACAGACCTCAAACAGGGATCTCATCTGCATGGACATGAATGGCACTTTGTAGCAAAACTGCCTAAAGAGTGCCACCATTACACTTTTGTTGTTCATGATGGCTTGTACAATGACAGAGGGTCAAAAGAAACCCAGCACTCGCCTCCTGTAAACACGGTTGGACAGTATCTACCTGCTCATCCGCACACTCCCAGCCGCATTCAAAGACAACCAAACGTAAGTAAACTGCACAAACCCTGTAGCAGTCTTATGTAACGAACGAGGAGGTATTCAAAAAGACAAGGCTTGGCCGGAGGCCTCTCAGTGGGGCAGGTCATAATTAGCTTTAATGGTTCTGTTCTTTGGGCTGTGCAGAGGCTCTGTCAGTCAGCTTGGTTGGCAGTGGGAGTCTAAGCAGCAGCTTCGCTCTCAGCCTCCACTGGTTGTCCTGTGGCACTCTCCACATTTTTGGATGCCTGGGAAAAGAAAAATTTTGCAATTATGGTTTCATATTCACAAAGTGCCATTAGAAATGGGGAAAGTGGATGCTGACACAACAAACCTTCTTTTTCTTCTTCTTCTGTGCCTTGCGGCTGGCTGAGCTTTGCAACAATGCCTGCAAATAATAAAACACATTGCCAGTAAATCTTGAATGCAAAAATCAACTGGAGAATTCCATTACGTAGAGTAGGATTTTTTTGCCAATGGCCCCTAAATGTTTGTCCCTTGTTCGCTTACTAAAATATATAAAAAAAATAACATTAATTAATAATGAATGATATTGAATTATAGGCAACATTAGGGCTAGGTATTGACACAAATCTCATGATTCAATTAAATTTTGATTCACAGGCTTTCGATTAGATTCTGATCATTTTGGATATATATCATGTACAACATAGCAAATTATCAAGGGGAAAAAAACAACTAACTCTGTAAAATATACATGAGTCAGTTGGTACTACATTACATTACTCTAATATTGAAGGTTAAAATTAACTGATTTGTATATAAACACTTAAATTACACTAAATGAAGTTATAATAAATTAAATATTGAATAGCAGTAAAAATGATAATGAATATGTTATATGGGTGCATATATTTAGCTAAATACTCCTCTCTCGAGTTAATTTATCTAGCTGGCAAATAAGTTTATGGTCAGCAAATACACTTTTTTCTGAGGTAAATGTGATGTTACGTGACATTGTTTACAAGCTGTTATACTGACATCTTTCTGCAGCTGAAATACGATTGTTCCATTTTTGTTTCGTAAAAATTAGTATCATTTAAAAGTTGAGAAATCAATACTTTAATTTTGGCAATGTTTTATTAACATTATTTTAATGTTACTATCATATATTTATTTTATTTTTGAAAATAATTTTCATACTTTGACAAATATTCATACTTGGGTTCCTTCTACCTATTATTAGAATATTTACATATATAAAATAAAATGTCCAACTAGTCCTTAAAAAGCAGAATAAAAAATGCAATAATTCTATAAATAATAATTCTGCAAATTCTGTAAATATTAACTTTTAATTAATTAACTAATAAACCTCCAATATAACTTCCATACCAGTTCCCTGTATGTGACACCAGAACCCCTCATTTTCTTACCTTGAGCTCTGGGTCTTGTACTTCATGCTCAGACTTGTAAAGCTCTCGATCAAAAGGTCCACTGGTGATACGCAGAGGGCCGTTTGCCATGAGCAGCACCGTGAATTTAAACTGTGCTACATATTCACCTTGAAAGAAAATAAGATGGGGAGGAGACAGAAGGTTTGACAATGTGACTCTCGAGACTTTGCTGATGGCACCAAACTTCTAAAATAAGAACAGTCTTTGACCTGGTCATGCGGCAAATGTGCTGGATGCGCTTCTCTGAGCACCGGCGTGACAGGAAATTATTTTTCATTTTCATTTAGTGATTTGTTGCAAAGGTTTAACCCTATCATCTTCATGCTTGGTTGAAGGTTTTACACATAAAAGTGAAATTTTATGACTGGTACTAATGCCTCACCTTCCTTCTCATGCAGGACATTGAAGGGCTGAAGCAGCTCGTGTTTGGCACACTCAACCACTCCTAGTCGAGCTTTACTCTCATCCTCAAATGACCTGATAGCACAGACACCAGACCACACAAAGACAGAAAGACAAGGAGAGACACAAAGAAATGTGATGAGCAACAGAGGTGAAGAGTTTGTTTTGTGCCATGTACTTTCATTTGAGATACTAATAACTTCAAAGTCATACGTCTGATTAGCACGTAAACATATAGCTTGAATACACTGTCAAATGCATTAACGTGAATCTAACAATTGAATGTTTATATATTTATATAATGCATTTATATCATTTATACATTAGCATTCAAAAAGGGCCCATAGGATTTTGTTGTTGTTGAAGGAAATTAATACTTTTATTCAGCAAGGATGCATTAAATTGATCAAAAGTGACAGTAAAGTCGGCGCCAATAGCCTCGTGGGCAGCGCTTCAGGCGTCCCGAGTTCAAGTCCCGGCTCGCGGACCTTTCCCAAACTCCCATCCCCTCTCTCTCCCACTTCACTTCCTGTCAAAATTACGGTCCTGTCCTAATAAAAGGCAATAAATGCCAAAAAATATATATCTTTAAAAGTGACAGTATAGACATTTATGTTCAAATAAATGCTGTTCTTTTGATCTTTCTATATTCAACGATCCCTGAAAAATGTGCCACGGTTTGCACAAAATATTAAGCAGCACAGCTGTTTTCAACATTAATAATAAGAATGTTTCTTGAGCAGTAAATCTGCATATCAGAATGATTTCTGAAGGATACCGTGACACTGAAGACTGGAGTAATGATGCAGAAAATTCTGCTTTTATCACAGGAATAAATTGCACTTTAAAATATATTAACATTAACAGCCATTTAAACATCATAAGTACCAGTTCTTTGGCACTAAATTGATTTTAAACTGTTTTATTCAATTTAAGCAATATTTGAATTAATATAAATATTTATTATACATTTATAAATTTGTAAGTGATTTATCTTTTCATATTTTTACTTTTGAATTATTGAATTAAAGGGTAACAAAACGGCTTGAGGGCTTTTGCAAAAACTAGATTGTACGTCCCTTTTTTCTCTAGTTACGTAGCATGGATTTCAAAAACAATTCTACTGCACAGACAGCCAAGTTTCATTAAAAGCTTACCTTCCCTTTAATAATGGATTTCTTCATTTTAGTTTTAAGTGGCTGCCCTTCTTTAAATGCTAGTTTAACTAACTTTTAACTAGTGATAATAAAAATAAACCTCATTACCTCAGAGTAAATGGCATGGTATCAAATCGCCGCTCGACCTCACTAAAGAACACCCTGGAGGTCTTCATCTTCAGTCCATACTGCTTGCTGGGGTCTCGTTTGTAAACAGTGGTCCTCTGCCCGGAGTCTCTAGCCTGCAGGGAGAAAGAGAGCGCTGTGATCAGCTAGCTGTCGCACATCAAGGGAACAGTTGATGCTGAGATGAGTCTTCACCTTTCCCTCTCCAGTGCTAATGAGCACGTCCACAGCGTACACCTCATGCACTTCAAATTCTGCCTTCTCGTGGTCCTTCCTTAGAGCAGACAAGGACAGAGAGCATTAAGCATAGAGGAACACTCAATCATTTTCAAAAACAATCTAGCGCTTCATTATCCTGACCTTTGCTGGTCGGTGGGGTTCTGAATGATGGTCTTCTCTCCATCAATGACGTGCTGCTTTAACTGATGAGACAGCATGCCTGTGTAAAGAGACAGAAGGAGCTTTAAAACCATTTTATGATGCTTCAACAGAGATGAGTTCAGGTTTCGGTCAGCTCACCCTCGATGGCCATGCATTTGAATGATTGGGCAATCTTGTTCCAGGCCCCTGTGACCTGAGTGTTCTGAGAAAAACAGAAAAACAGCTGGTTGGTCCATTGTAACTTCCTAAATGCATTTGAAACACTTTGTGAACCACATTTAAATCATTGTTAACTACTACAAATAATTTTATTCAAGTTAAATAGAAATAAAAAACTGACAAAAACAAATTACTAAAACTAAATTTTTTTATTTTTTAATATTTTTAAATGCTACAATAGTATATAAATAATAACACTAAAATAACATTATTTTTTAAATATTATCCAATTTATTAAGTAGCATCCTTCTGAAGATATTGTCCCTTACATGTAGACCAAGGTTTTAAAGGGGTCATATGATGCGATTTCAATTTTTCCTTTCTCTTTGGAGTGTTACAAGCTCTTGGTGCATAAAGAAGATCTTAAATTTGCAAAGACTAAAGTCTCAAATCCAAAGAGATATTCTTTATAAAAGTTCAGAGTCAGCCACACCTACCTAAAACGGCTCGTTCTAACACGCCTAGGGATGCTCCGATCCGCCTTTTTCGCCTCCGATACCGATTCCGATCAAGCCATGAAATTCAAAACGAACTCATTGCTGTCATGAGCAGACTTGTTACCGACGCAATAGTGAAGGACATCGGCGATTCATGGTTTACAGTGAAAGTAGACGGAACCAGGGACCCTACTGGAATGGAAAACGTTTCCGTTGTAGTTCGCTACTTCGATGAAACAACTATGAACGTTACAGAACGACTGCTGGTGATGACCACCGCAAATTCGGGTGATGCACCAACCATCACAAATATAATACTGTCAGAGCTGACCAAGGCAGGCTTGAATACTTCTAAGCTTCTGAGTCAAGTGTACGATGGAGCGGCAGTGATGGCGGGCAAATATGGTGGAGTTCAGCGACTTCTGCAAGAAAAGGTTGGCCGGGAGATACCTTACATACACTGCCTAAACCATCAGTTGCACTTAGTCCTCGTGCATGCGTTATCTGCTGAGCAAGCCATTCAAGATTTTTTCAGAATATGCAACGCGCTTTATAACTTCTTCCGTAAACCCACAGTTGCCCTGCAATATAAAGGTGACAGACTAAAACGTTTACTTGACCAGAGGTGGACAGGCCACCTCGCTACTGTTGCCGTCATCATCAATTCATTTGAGGACATTACATCAGTTCTTGAGCATGTCAGCTCTGTAAGGACTTATGGAGCTGAAGTTCGCATGGAGGCAGTTGGACTGTTAAGGGAGGTGACAGATGAAAGCTTCGTTTTCATCTGCCATTTGGTTCACAAGGTAGGCCTAAGACATTTATTTTGTGTGTGTGTGTGTGTGTGTGTGTGTGTGCAATAAAAATAGTCTACCCTATATATAGCCTGTACATATATATTTTAGATTTACTCAATTAACAATATATATTTTAAATTACTTACAAATGAATTTAATATTGATATATTTAATATTTATCTTAAACATTTTAAATTAATACAGAACAATTTGAATATATTTAAAGTTTCAATCATTTCATAGTTAAAAAATCACTTAAATGTAATATAATTTTGTTATTAAATGTAAATGTGTGAAATGGGCTAAATTATTTGTGTGCGCATGCACTCGTCATTAAAAACATCAAGTTAGACTAAAGAAAGAAAACAAGCAAAATAATTTCAAAATGATTTCTTCATTTTTTTCAAAATGATTGTTTATCACAGCATTTATTAGTTATCCTTAAATGGCGGATATCCTACTATTGACGGAAATGACGGAAACCTTTTAACGCAACCTCTAATAAAAACGCCATATACCCTGTAGGTTCTGATGTTGCTCAATCCTGCCAACAACATGCTCCAAGGAGAGGATACAGACCTTTTGATCGGAATGAAACTTGTATCCTCAGCTGCCGAATGTGTGCGCAATATCCGCAGCGAAGATGAATTCTGCATTCTCTGGGACACTATTACAGTGAGCACGACCGATACACCTGTCCCAGCAAAATGGAGTCGGCAGGTAAATAAGAACCTGAGCGAGTATGTAGTTGAAGAAACAACTGGAGTCAACGTCGTCAGTGATAAAATGGAGCTACGCAGGCTGTACTTCAGTACTTTGGATCACATTCTTGGTGAAATGGAAGCGCGTTTCAGTGAACGTAATTCGTTTCAGTGAATGCACTTGACCCAGAAAATGAGACCTTTTTAGATGTAAAGTCCATAGAGCCCATCATGAATTTAACAAATTCTACCATTGTGGAAACGGAGTGCATCGTTGCAAAGCAATTTATCTCCAGAATCAAAACAGAAGAAAGCCAGCAGATGATGACCATTAGGAGACTTCTTACTGAACAACACAAAGTACTTGAAGCTATGCCCAGTGTTTTGTCCGCTCTTAAACTCGCTGTCACATTCGGGGCCTCAACCGCTATGTGTGAGAACTCCTTTTCAGTCCTAAAGAACGTTTTTACGGACAACAGACGAGCAATGAACCACACTCGCAAGGCTCAGCTTGTGCATCTTGCATTTGAACGGGACCTTACAAAGAAATTACGGAACGAATGGAAAGACCTCCTTATGAGAAAGTTTAACACTTCCACTCGTCGCCTGCAGCTTTTCTAAAGGTAAGATGTCTTTTTGCTTTTTGTATCTGTGGTTTGTAATGGGTTTTAATGTTTTTGTCTCGTCGCTCTGGCCACACGTCTCCACACGGCATCAACAGTATGGTAGGGGCGTAACATTTCCGTCTCACGCTTGAGGTATTCGGCCAATCACAACGCATTGGATAGCTGGCCAATCACAGCACACCTCGCTTTTTCAGACCGATGAGCTTTGTAAAAATCGACGCGTTTCAAAAAGGCGGGGCATAGAGGAGAAACAATAATGTACAGTATGTGGAAAATAATGTGTTTTTTTTACTTTAAACCGCATAAACACATTTCATTACACCAAATACACAAAATAATGTTCTTTTTAGCAGCATCATATGACCCCTTTAAGTTGGCCTCCACAAAGGGAATTATCCATTTTATAATAGAGAACTGATTGTGACTTAAAAAAAAAAAAGATTAAATCATTATATAATTTTATTAATGAGGATGTTTTTAGCAGTTAATTACAGGACCGTATTGATTCTAACTAACCTGATTCCCAGGTTTAACCAGCCGGAGAGCAGCTTCTGCACACAAGTGGGCAGCTTTGATCACATCCGCTTTCCGTCCTGTCACAGGAGCATCCTAGAAGAAGAGCAAAGTTAAGTGCACTTCTAACAGAATGAAAAATGAGTTTTGTAGCATTCACAACAAAAGACATACCTTGGTTGCGCCAACCACAAAGCTATGAGCAATGTTGGAGATGAAGCCATCCACATGCACTCCAAGGTCACTGTGAAAAAACAGAATGTAATAATGAAGAAATGTGCTAATAAACAGAAAAAATACATACATTTATATATCGAACAGAAATAATACTCACATTTTAACCAAGTCACCGTCTTTGAGCATGTAGTCTGGATCGCTCTTCAGCGGTGAGAAGTGGCACACACAGTTGTTCACACACACACAGGTGGGAAAGGCAATCCCTGTCACACAAGTATAAAACATTCATCTACTATTTCATATAGAGTACTTTGTCAAAAGTTTGGAAACAATGATTTTTAAATGCTTAATGAAGTCTCTTATGCTCAGCAACGCTGCATTTATTTGATCAAAAATACAGTAAAAACAGTAATACTGTGAAATATTATTACAATTTGAAATAACTATTTATAAGAAATGGATGCTGAAAATTCAGTTTTGCCATCACAGGAATAAGTGACATTTTTAAATATACTACAAAAAAAAAAAAGTTATTTTTAACTGTAATACTATTTCACAATATTACTGTTTTTACTGTATTTTTGAGCACATAGATGCAGCCTTGGTGAACATAAGAAATTTGATTAAAACATTTAGAAATGTAATGTTTCCTAACCTTTGAAAAATACTTTATGTATAATAAATAATTTCTTTTTTTAAATATAAAATACAATGTAAAAATAGAATAATTAAAACATTTTTTTTTTAATCAATTTTGATTTATGATTTTAATGAATATTATAGACTTGTATTTTTTAAACATAATTTTTTTTAAATAAATACATTTTAAAAAATCAAGAAAAAATAAAAAAACACCACATTTAAAATCACTGGTTAAGGTCACTTTTGAAATCACTGATTCAAGATTGTAATGAATATTATTTAGCTCTTTTCAGAAGCATTCTTACCTTTCTTAATCTCTTTCTCCTTCTTGAAGACCTTGCCTGTTTCGGCAGTGATGAAAGCATCTCCTTTCTCGCATAGGCTGAGGACAGACACACCAGGCTTGGCTGCTTCGATGACCACCTTCAAAGCCTCTGAAAAAGAAAGATTTCACATTAGACAACCAAATTTCATACCTAAAGGATTTTGAAGCTCTCCCTAAAGCACTATGTGACAGGACCCGGTCTCAAGAAGATCAATACACATTAAATCAGTAAGCACTTCTAGTAAAAAGAAAGAAATGGAAGATTTCAGTAGCTGACAGTAGCTAAAACTTTCTCAGCACCTGCCAATAAATCTACTGGACACTTTTTTACATTACTGAAACGTAATACCTACTAATATATATATATATATATATATATATATATATATATAGACTTAAAACAAACAAAAACTACTAAAAATGGCAAAACTTGCATAACAAAATCACTAAAATGAAAATGTAGACTTAAACACAACAGGAGACGTCGGGCAGAATGACAGGGTCAGTCGCCACTCACTCTCATTGTAAGGAACAAGCAATGAAAGTGAATGGTGACTCAGAGACTGTCAGTCACTTAACGTTGTGTCAAACATGTCCTATTGTGGTTCATAGTCATGCAGGTTTAGAGTAACATTACGGTGAGTAAATAATGAGAGAATTTAACTTCTGGGGTGAACAATCACTTTAAGTCGGTACGTTACAACTACAGCTAACTGGCTAACCTGCTAGCCGAATATGTATAAACATAAACAACGCTCTTAAGATTACAAAACGTCGGCTGCTGATGCTTGTCCGTACGATTTCAAGTTAAGTCAAGTCAAAAAAACTAGAAATGAATGGCATCTATGTCTATCTCACTACAGCTCGCAGACACATGGCCGAGCGCTGAGCTGTATCACCGCTCGGTCAAAATCAACCCTTGATCACGCATAAAGCTCCAGAATCAATCTTACGGTTTGCTATGTCGGCCCCCATCTTGTACTTGGTAACCACCAAGTCATCAGCGATGGTGTGCTCTTGCTGGTCATCGTCTCCTGACATGCTTGTCAGCGGTGGGGTTCAAGAGGAGCTCGTAACTTTTTCCCTCGCTTCGCTTGTGGGATGATGGAGCACAGCACGCTGCTTCAGATCTCACAGCCTGCGCCAGCAGCAGCCGTGGAAACGCACAAGATGGCCGATTACTGCGCCGCACTTCAAAATAAAAGCCGCAGAGCTGCGGATAGACTGACAGAGTGACCTCTGCGGGAGCTCGAGGAAATTATATCTCGTCATTAATTTTCCAGTTTGGCATAGAGATGTCAAAGAGTGTTTTATGTACAAACAAAGCATATTTAGGATAAATCTTTAACATCTTACATTTCTCTTTCTCTCAGGTTGGGCGGGGTGGGGGCACTGGTCTGCTCATTTCAAACAATTGGAAATACTCAACCCACTCTCCCTTATGCAATTATAACTAATTTGAATCTCATGCGATTACTATAACAGCTCCTATAAAACTCCAGGTTGTGGTAATTTACCGCCCTCCTGAGCAAATTCTAGGCACCTTCCTAGAGGAGCTGGATGGGCTGCTGTCCTCATTCCTGGAGGATGGCAGTCCACTTTTAGTCTTTGCGACTTCAACATTCATCTGGACAAGCCTTATGCTACAGACTTCCATTCACTCCTTGCTTCACTACAAGCACGCACAAATCAGGCAACCAACTTGACTTAATTTACACATGCAATTTGTACTGCAGACAACATTTTGGTAGAACCCCTAAATATCTCTGACTATTTCTTCAGTACATTTAAACTACATTTTGCAACCTGTGTGCCACCAACCCCTATACCGGTTACTTTTAGACGAAACCTTTCTCTGCTGAAGTCCATACTGCCAAATCTTCATATTTTCACAACAAGATTATCAATGCTCCAGACACACGTAATCTCTTCAAAACATTTAATTCTCTCCTCTGTCGCCCTCCACCACCTCCCACCACTTCTATACCAGCTGATGATTTCGCCACATTATTCACAGACAAAACTAGAACAAACAGTAGTCAATTCTCAGCCCCACACACACAGGATCAAATCAAAAACAGTATCAAAACTTCTCCTCTCCAGCCATCCTACAACATGCCCTCTAGACCCAATCCCCTCACACTTTCTCCAAGCAATCTCTCCTACACTCTTACCACCACTCACACACATCATCAACACATCTCTCCTCACAGGCACTTTCCCCACTGCATTCAAGCAGGCTTAGGTAACCCCACTGCTCAAAAAACCTACATTAAACACCTCTCTTACAGACAGCTACAGACCTGTCTCTCTCCTTCCATTCATAGCGAAAACCCTCGAACGAGTTGTTTTCAACCAG